GTGGTGATATTCCTGCCCCACTTTCCCCATATATATATATATATATATATATATATATATATATATATATATATATATATATATATATATATATATATATATATATATATATATATATATAGGGTAGGGTTCCAGTGAGAATATGTTCTTAGGTGAGAACGTGACAACACATAATGTGCATCCATCTAATATTTTTTAATGGTCTAGATTAGATTAAGTGTGTGCAAACACGATTTAAATTTGTGCAAACGCGATTTAGTGTGTTTGCACACATTTAATGCACGTTTGCACACACTTAATCTAATCTATACCATTAAAAAATATTAGATGGATGCACATGATGTGTTCTCACGTTCTCACCTAAGCACATGTTCTCATATGATCCTAACTATATATATATATATATATATATATATATATATATATATATATATATATATATATATATATATATATATATATATATATATATATATATATATATATTTGAAAAAATGTTTTGACAAATGTGTTTTAAATTTCTCCATAACTATATTTATCTATGCGAATGATTTTTTAGAAAATCTATGTTTCTTTTTAAATGTTTATGTGTCGAGTAATACTACCTGGTTTTGTAAATCCCTCCATATCTAAACGATGTTTTGAAATGCCTAGTGTATAAGGGAATATTTTGCCTTGAATGCCTTGTGATATATATGCATGCAATGTTTTAGATTTGAACTTTAACCTTTGCCTTGGAAACTCTTTTGGTTATGGTGTGAGTTATACTTGTTATGTTTTTACTCTTTAATTATTTCTGAAAAATTGTCATTTTTGGTGTAGTGTTGACTAGAAATGTCTTGAAAAATCTTTTGAAAAGGTACTTCTAAAATCCGTAGCTAACATTTTCTAAAATTATGATTTTACGAGTATCAAAACATATTTATAAAAGTATATATATTTTGTAAGCTAAAAATGTACTTATTTTACGGGGCAGAGTGGTTCTTACTTAGCACTTTTATGCTAATTGTTTGTTTCCTGTGTTTTGAACTTACCCCTGATGCATTTTTGAGTGCGCGCATAGAGGCTCTTATCTCTTGGATAGTCCTTCCCTTGTTTAGATTAGCTCTTAGTTAGATGTTCACCTGAGATTCTTATGTTATGTTCTTGAGACTTGATAGACCTTTGGTTGCAGACTTTGGAATAGTTTCTTCTGAGATAACACTTGGTTTGTTTGATGCTTAGACACCTGGGCCTTGTAGAACCCATACTTTGTTATCTTGATGTTTTGCTATGTTTGGTTTAGCCTTGCAGCTATCCGAGAATGGATAGTTGTGGCGGTAACATTTCCATGACTGTTTTAAGGATTTTAAACTCTTTCTTAGTATGAATGGAACTTTCTGAATTATTTATAATGCTTAAGTTTATAATTTCCATAGGCTCCAATGTTAGAAATAGGGGGTTAAACACACACACACACACACACAGGATGAGAGGAAGTGTGTGTGTGTGTCTGAAGTTATTATGCAAATGAGTTTTCGGACGAGTTTTTGAGAAATTAAAAAGAAGTGAAAAAAAAAAAAAAAGGATCTGCTTTCTCAAAACGTGCACACCTCGCGGATACGTGCGTTTCACATGCTTGCTGGGTGCATTAAAAGTTATTATAGTTTATTTTTTAAAAAATTATAATTTATGCCCTCACAAGTATATGCTAATTATAAATGTCACTCCTCAATTTTAAATGGCATAAATATTGTCCCTGAATTGTCAAAATGTCACTATATATTGCCCCCATATATTGTAATTTTTGTCCCTCAGGGTGGACAATATATGACCAAATTTTGACAATTTAGGGACAAAATTTATACCATTTAGGATTGAGAGGTGACATTTATATATAATTGACTTATACTTGGGGGCATAAATTACAATTTTCTCTTTATTTTTCTCTCCCTTCCAAAACTGACAAAGTCGGCAAAAACTCATATAAATTACAATTAATGTGATTGCTCTTATTATTATTATTATTATTATTATTATTATTATTATTATTATTATTATTATTATTATTCTTGGAAGCAGTGGTTGGTCTTATATATATATATATTTTTAAAGTGGTTGGTCTTATATTTAATTTAAAACAAATTAAAAGATTATAAAATCCCATGATATTTATCCAAAATGCAGACGAAGAATAAGGGTTAAGGCTTAAGAAGTAACAAGGCAGTTTCTTAAGAAAAGATAAACCAAATAATGATAGGAGGGAAGGAAGGAACCAAGGAAACCCCATAATGATTTTTGTGATTGGACCAATACAACCAACACAACCACGTTAGCATATCTGCTTCGACTGCTGAGAACTCCCTCTTTAATCTTTTCCTTTACCTTGTTCTATCTCTCATTTATTTTTTCGGATTCTCATTCCCACCAACCAACCTAACCATTAAATTTCACTCTCCAACTTCATTTATCCTCAATCCTTTTTATTTGTACTATACTATTAATAAAACTCACTGTCCTATCAAATTTACAAATAAAAGTAGAGCAAATACTAATTTTAGTCCCATGAATATTAACAAAATGATAGTTTTAGTCCATATGTTTAATTCTTATCAATTTTCATCAACGACTATTGTTTTAGTTTCAAAATTTATCACGCCGGTTACTCCTTTTTAAGACATGTCGAAATCTAAAATTTTTATAAGTATCTTCGTCCTTTTCAATTTAAGATCCCAATTTAAGCATGAATTAAGAAATTTAAGCCTTAAGATCGATCCCAATTCACAGTTCTCTTCCTCATCCTACCTTAATTTGAGGAAGAGGACTGTAAATTGAGATTAATCTTAGAGCTTAAATCTCTTTATTTATGGTCAAATTGAGATCTTAATTTGAAAAGAATGAAAATACCTTTAATAATTTCATATTTCAAGATTTCAGCATGTCTTAAACGAATGGGTGACCGTGATAAATTTTAGCATTAAAACAATAGTCATGGACCAAAATTGGTACTAAAATAATAGTCGTAGATGAAATTTGGTAAGAATTAAACATGTGGACCAAAACTGTCATTTTTCTTAATACTCGTGGGACCAAAATTGGTATTTGCTCAATAAAAGTATTTTTTAGTATGAACGCTCTATTACAATTTAATATCTGTTCTCAACATATTAAAGCACACAGAGTCAATGCCCAATGGTTTGGTATGCAGTATTTGGGAGATGAGACCAATGTTTGAACCTCGATGGCGGCAACTCCGTATCGACATTTGGGCCTGGCTACTGAGCTATTGAGTCATCGTGATTTACATCCTCCCAAATACTCTTGTCGGACCTTTAGAATTGAGAATTTAACCTTTTGAAAGAAGAGTTAATGCTCCTACTAAGAAACAAACCTTGTGACCTCCCATTTTAGAGAGTAATTAAAAAAATAAACACTATTAAAGTCATTTACTATTACCATAAGATGGCATATCTCAAGAATTTCAATTTGTCTCACAGTCAGAATGTACAGACAATCAATGATGATCTACTTACTATTATATATTTCTAAGATTCATTTACTAACCCAACAGGATAGTTCAAGTGGCAAATGAACTCTTTTTGTGGAGGAGAATTTTGGAATAACTCGGGTTTAATTCCTACAGGTGACGATTCCCTTTGTGTTAACTTCTGTGCCTCGAACCGAGTGGACATGCACCGTTATACAGACAGAAAAAGACTCGAGACCACATTGTGGTTTACACAAAAAAAAATACACAAAAAAAAAAAACCATGTTTATGGTATCACATTGTGGTTTACAAAAAAAAAAAAAAAAACCATGTTTATGGTATCTCTGAAAAATTTCGTCTATTATTATTAGATGAAGGAGATTCACAATAATATTGTTATCAATGATTATACTAATAATTTTATTTTAAAATGTTAATTTTTTTTTTTTGAAGACAAGATGTTAAATTTTAATATGTAAACAAACTAATTTAAATTTTTTGAAGATGTCATTTTTTTGTCTTTTTACATTTATCAGTTTATCAAAAATTTAATTTTACCAAACACTTACAAGCATAACAACTAGCTTAACACCTCTTCAGTTTTCAGCTCCTAACTTATAGCTTTTCAGCTTTCAGCTCCTTTTAAGCTTTCAGCTACCTTTTCAGCTATGTTTGCCAAACATAACCTAACTAGTATTACTAACTAGTTTCATCGTTATTATTGATCACCGCTTACTTTCAAAAATTATTGTATACCTATCTATTTTCACATTCATATATTTAACCCGTTCTCATGATGAGAACTGAATGAATTGTATTGAAAATATAGTTGTGTAACAATGGTACAGACTGGGGGAATATATATATATATATATATATATATAAGAGGAATGATAGGGAGACTAGGATAGAGAGTCATAATGTGAGTCAAATACAGAGAGTCATAATACTCCCCCTCAAGCACATGGTATACTAGTAACCTGTAGCTTGTCTCTAAGAAAAGAAAATCTAGGACTAGGCAAAGCTTTTGTGAATATGTCTGCAAGTTGATCCTTTGTTGGGATGAAGTTGACTTGAATATCTCCAGCAGCAACTCTGTCTCTAACAAAGTGATAGTCTATCTCTACGTGCTTTGTATGAGCATGGAAGATTGGATTTGCACACATATATGTAGCACCAAGATTGTCACACCATAGTTTAGGGATAAATATACCTGGTACTTTGATCTCTCGCAGCAGTGAAACAATCCAAATTACCTCAGCACAAACATCAGCTAGAGCTTTATATTCTGCCTCAATAAAAGAGAACCAAGAAAGTGATAATCTATCTCTACGTACATTGTTTCTTGCAGACCCAAGACACAATATTATAACCAAGAAACACAGTGGATCCACTTGTAGATTTTCGGTCCTCCAGACAGCCAGCCCAGTCAGAATCAGAGAAGGCATGTATATCCTTTGAAGAAGACTTTCTGATTCGTAAATCAAAAGCGACAGTTCCCATAACATACCTCAAAACTCTCTTTAATTTCTCTCAATGTGAAATTGCAGGAGCATGCATGTGTTGACATAGTTGATTGACCGCAAAAGATAAATTAGGCCGTGTGATGGTGAGGTATTGCAGTGCTCCATCTAGGCTCATGTACTGTGTAGGATCATCATATAAGTCTGCACTAAAGGTTTTCGAAACGGATAAAGGAGTAGAAAGAAGTTTGCATTCTGCCATCCCCGCACGTTTCAAGATGTCATTCATATATCCCAGTTGAGATAGTAGAATGCCATTATCACATTTAACAATTTTAATGCCAAGAAAGAAACTTGGTTCACCAAGATCTCTAATCTTGAAATTGACAGACAATTTTGACAGTAAATCAGTTACTAGAGTTTGGCCACTTCCCATTACAAGAATATCATCCACATAAACCAATAGATAAACCAGAGCAGAATCCTGTGAATAATAGAATAAAGAGGCATCCGTTTTTTATGCTTGAAATCCAACTGATATTAAGAACATGTGTAAATGATTAAACCAAGCTCTAGGAGCTTGTTTTAATCCATACAATGAACGTTTTAATAGGCAGACATGGTTGAAAAACTAGCATCAATGTAACCAGGGGGTTGCTTCATATAAACAGTTTCAGTCAAATTTCCATTTAAAAAGGCATTATGAACATCTAGCTGCCTGATAACCTATCCAGATGATAAAGCTAAGGATAATAGAAGCCTTACAGTTGTGGGTTTCACCACTGGACTGAATGTTTCAAAGAAACCCTGACCTGGAACCTAATTTAAACCTTTTGCTACTAACCTGACTTTATGCCTCTCAATAGTGCCACCAGCCTTCCTTTTCGTGCGAAACACCCATTTATACCCAATAATATTCATACCTGTGGTGGAAGGAATTAGGGACCAAGTCTGATTCTGTAGAGCATTAAATTCTTGGTCCATAGTTTCACGCCACTCAGGATATTTAACAGAATAACAGCTTGAGTGCAACACATAGGTTCTGTAGGACAAACCTGAGCAGCAAGAGCCGTAGGAGGAGCTTGAAACTTACTGCGAGTCGCCATGTAGTGGGTGTGGACAATTGGTCTCGTCGACTTGCCACGCGGACGCCGTGCAGCCTCTACATGTTCGACCGAGGATGACGTAGGCTGCACGGAATTAGCTTGCATGGGCTCGTCCTACAACATGGGCTCTGGCAGCGAATCTGGATACACGGAATTCGATGTAGTGTTGCCGATGTCATGGTGGAGAATATATTCCGCCTAGGGAGCAGTCTGAGTAGGTGGTGTAGCCTGCATAGAAGATTTAGTAGCAAAAGGAAATACTTCTTCATCAAATCTGACATGCTTGTGTAAATCTTATTAGTCTGTAACTCCATGCACCTATACCCCTAAAAGACTCAGGATAACCTAGGAAGACACAAGGAGAAGACCTGTATGACATTTTGTGACGATTGTATGATCTTAAGTGAGGATAACACAGACAACCAAAGACACGAAGAAAAGTATAGGAAGAAAGAGACTTGTGCAAGACGTAATAAGGACTGGAATTGTTTAAGACACTAGAAGGCATTTTATTAATCAAATAAACAGCAATCTCAAAGGCAAAATCCCAAAAACGATACGGAATAGAGGCATGAGCCATAAGAGTGAGCCTAGTTTCAATAATGTGCATGTGTTTCCGATCAACACGCCCATTTTTCTCATGAGTCTATGCACATGACTATCTATGATTAATGCCTAGTTGCACAAACGAGGAATGTAATTTCTTATATTCAGCTCTTAGATCAGATTGGATGGACTTGATTTTACGATCAAATGAACGCTCAACTCAAGCACGAAATTAATCAAATATGGCATAAAGATCAGATTTCTGCTTCATAGGGAAGTAACAAGTGTAACGAGAATAATCATCAACAAAGATGAAAAAAAACGACAACCATTAGAACATATCAAATGAGCTGGTCCCCAAATATTAGTGTATATCAAATCAAGAATGTCCGAAGTACTAGACTCAACATGTGCCAAAGGGAAACGTGCAAATTTACCTAATTGACATGATGAACATAAATTAGAATTACAACGAATACTACGACTAGATCCACTAACCGAACATGACGGAAGAATTTGACTCAGGACACACTGATGAGGATGACCCAAACAATCATGCCAAACCGAAGCGGAAGCACTAGCGGAGAGAAACACAGAAGGAGACGAATTTAGAACAGGCAAAGTGTATAGGCCACCCGAACTACTGCCCCATAGGAGGATTTCCTCGGTGGTGATATCTTTCACAAGAAAAAAAGAAGGATGAAACTCAAAGAACACATTGTTATCTCTAGCAAAACGTTGAACATATAATAAAGAGGTAGACAGACCAGGAACATGCAATATATCAGACATCGTAAAGGATCTAGAAGGGGTATTAAAAGTAACATGACCAACATGACTAATAGACAGACTCATACCATCACCGACACGTAAAGTGTCATTACCAGTGTATTTCTCCGATGTAGAAAGGGCAACTATGTTTGGAGTTGCATGATTTGTGGCTCCAGTGTCCGGAACCCATGTATGAGAATTTGACGAAGTTTTAACACCCAAACCATTCTAAAACACCAAATTAGCCTGAGAACCCGGAGCCCCTGAATAACGCCGAAAACGTATAGTTAGCTCCCATGTGACCGAAACCTTTACAAATTTAACACGATTCATCATAGCACTAAAAACAATTGACTCCCGTGTGATCGAAACTTTTATAAATTTGACACGATTCATTAAAGTCATGTCTACCACACTATTGACCTTGGTGCGAACTGTCACGACTCCAACTGCCATCGCCGTGTTGCATGATTTTAGAAATTGTTGCGGATGACACTTCTACTATTCTATGGGTTTCTTTTTCTTTTTTGATGAAGTAATTGGCCAAATACGAATGAATGTGAAACCTGACCCCAATTTCCAATCTTGTTATTATTGAATGTTATTATTCAATCTTGTTGCAGCAGTTTCTTGCACCATCATCATGCCGACGTCCAGGAACGAATACAAATGCATCAACGAGCACGGAAACGGTGACTTGGTATGCGGCATCTCATCATCATCAGACCAACTCATAACAATCATCTCTATCGCCTAGCCAGCCCACGAATACCAAGACATCAACGAAATCTAAAACACAAAGTTCTTGAAGATGGATAGATGGAGAAAATTCTAATTAACTGATACCAGATGAGAACTAAATGAATTGTATTGAAAATATAATTGTGTAATAATGGTACAAATTAGAAGAATATATATAAAAGGAATGATAGGGAGACTAGGATAGGAAATCATAATGTGAGTCAAATACAAAGAGTCCTAATACTCATAACCATATGCATACATACACTGATACACATACCCATCAATACATTTATCTACCTCACCACCATTATCATTATTACCATCAACGACATTTATTTGTACATATCATAATGACCCTGTTTGGTAAAAAATTGGCCTATAAGTCAATTTTGACTTATTTGAATACTATTAATTGTTTGATTTAATTAAAATATCAATATAAATGTTTGGTTAATTAGCTCTTTGCAACTCCACAAGGCTAACATTCAAAAAGCTACTCCAAACAACTTTTTCAATTAGCTTTTTGAGAAGAGAAATTATACCAAACAGCTATGAGCTAATAGTTAATTTACCAAACACTTTTCTACAATCAACTAATGTTATCAACTATTTATACCCTCTAATTAACACAATCAGCTAACAACTAATAGAGCTAACAGCCATTTTACCAAACAAGGCCAATATATTTACATGCCACCACTCAAGTAGATACACAATCTCATATTAACCTAATTACTTACATCACGTACAATCATTATCACTGCCTTGTGACCCTAGTTAACAAACGATCACAAAAAGACCAACTAATTTAGGTTGTCTATAACTGACCGATTTAAATAAAGAAGACCAATAAGTTGCTTCCTTAGAAATATATATTACTATATATTTATTAGTAGATCGAATCTTAATTACTACGGTTCTTTTTTTGACAACTTAATATATAACTACAGTTTAACACTTATGAAGTACGGAGTAACAATTTTTAATCAAATATAGCCTAATAATTAGTATGTCTTTAATAAATATTGCTAAAAAGGAGAAAATTTTAACTTGTGATGAGTTAATTCACAGATAGCTATTAAGTATTAAATATTTTATAAAATGCGATAACTGATTGTATGATTAATAATTAATAATTAATAATTTATCGGTTGCCAATTATATATTAATATATCATTTCAGTAGCTTAGTAGTCAACGTACAGTCTGAAGAAAATGTCATAATCATGGTAGGACCACTAATAAAGGAATTGTCACATAGAAATGTGCACATGTTAACATAATATTATAATTTTTAAAAGGGTAAATTATCAAAACTACTAGACGTTCATAAACTATGGCAATTTCATAATTTTAATTCTCACTTTTAGTTTCATTCATTAAATTTGTATATATTTTAGTCATTTTGAGATACAATTTAGTCCAAATTTTGTTATATTGTAGTTTGAAGGATTAAAATAGATAGTGAAAAATATTATAGGACAAAATAAGATATCAAGAACTTAAACAGTGAAAATATAAAATCGATCATTGTATTTTTAATCAAGAGATCATTTCGATAATATATTCTTTCTTATATAGTCAGCCTCTTACAAAATAATAAAATGAAGGTACACCACATGTTTTAACATTACCAAAATAGTTAATTAGTTAACTAATTAATTAAAAGACTTGGCATGAACTTAAAATGGTTAATAATGTGTCAGCACCTTCTTGGTTGAACTTAGCTTGTTGCACATCGTATTTTTAGTGCGATTTACTTTTCATGTGCAATTTCACTACTAGAAATTATTGAATTTCTGACCACCTGAAAGTGATCTTAAATCAAGTTGAAAGTCTTGTTCTGACCACTTTTGATATCCGGAAAAACCTTTGTTGCTATTTTTGACCACTTTTTACTTTTGACTTGATTTAAAATCATTGGTCGAAAATTCCATAATTTTCAGCGATGTTTACGGAGTATTAAATAGGCGTGAGATTTACCTCACACCCATCCTAGCTCAGTAATTGTTGTGATTTTCTCTAGTGATTCAATAATAATAATAATAATAATAATAATAATAATAATAATAATAATAATAATAATAATAATAATAATAATAATAATAATAAGCTTTCAAAAATATAATAATAATAATAATAATAATAATAATAATAATGTAGGGAAGAACTTAGAATTATTTTTTTTTTTTGAAGAATTTTTTTTAAAGGATTATTATTTTTTTTTTTTTGAAAAATTAGAATCAATAATCCATAATAACTCTCATACA